AGAAACAACTGCAACTAAATACTTTTTTCTTATTTGTCAAAATCAAAGACTTAGAATTTAGTTTTCATATATATGTGTGTGTGTGTATATATATATATATACACACACACATATACACACACACAGATGTGTGTGTGTGACATATAGGCATTTGTGCATATTATATAGATAAAAGTAATCCAAAAATTCATGGATAAAAAGAATTAAAAGATAAATTTAGGGGTAGGAGTTGTGGTGCGGGTGTTAAGCCACTACCCAAGACACATGCATCCCATTTTGGAGTACCTGTTAGAGTCCCAGCTAGTCTGCTTCCAATCCAGCTCCCGGTTAATACATCTAGGAAAGCAGCAGAAGATGGGTACTTTGGTCCCCGCCATCCATGTGGGAGACCAGGATGGAGTTCCTAGATCCTCGCTTTAGCCATTTGAGGAATGAACTGGGGGATAGAAGATGTGTGTGTGTGTGTGTGTGTGTTACTCTTCCTTTCAAACAAATATTTTTAAGATACAAATGTATTTCGAAGCAAAAATATTTTAAATCCATGCAGTTTTTTTCATAATGTTCATATGTATAATTTTCCACTATCTGAACTACTCTTAATTTTTATCTTATTCCAGACTCTAGAAAACACTGGTATGTAAATATAATAGATACTATGTCCAATTTAAAGATAAGTAACTAGATCTTGGAAATTTTAATAACATATCCATGTGCCAGCTGGAGCAAGAGTTGGAGCTGGAATGCAAGTCTCCACGCAACCAATTCACTGTCCTTTGCACTATAATAATTTGTCTCTGGTAGTCAATTCTTTTTATCTTTCTCTGAATATTTATGGTTTATTTAAATTTTCCTGCCTGGAGACATAATCTAGTTTTTATTCTATTTATATTAAAATCATGATGTGCCTAAATGCCCAGAAAACTGGGGGATTTTGATTAATTGATTTGGTGGTTAGCTTAAGGTTAATTGGAACTTTTAAAAATTGGCATTCTTGTTGCAAATCATTCTTAAATATAAATCTACACTTCACTCCAAATCACAATTTAATAACTTATAATTGAAAATCTTGCAATATGGAATGGTTGTCATTTGAACATGAGTTTATCCTACAGTGCTGAAGAAAATGTAGAATGAACAAAACATCTAGTGGTCCCAGGATATCCTTTGCAAGTTTTTAATGACCTTTTGTGAGTCTTTGAAAAAAAAATAAAACATGGATTTAGAATTAGAAATATTGAGTCCAAGTCCAGTTCTGTCACTAAATAGCTATGTGACCTTGATAATATCTCTTTCTTCCTCTCAACCTCATTTCTCTCAATAGTCAAATGAGTGTATGAAGCTAAATGGCATTTGAGGTCCTTTCTGGCTTGACGGTTTCTATTGTTTTGTGGCTGGCTTTCTTGTTACTTATTCTTCCACTGAAAGACTCTTGATCAATTCAGCTTTCTAGCTAGTTGCATTCTAATTAATTGCAAGTTTATTAGTTCCTGGTGAGGTTCCTAAATAAGTGAGATAAATTTAACTTGAACAGTCATAATTCCTTTGGAATTTCCAATAGTCATGAGGAAATGAAAAAGACATTATGCTTCGCTATCAGCAGGTAATGATGATGACAGGCAAATAGAGTTAAGCAGGCAATTTTAGGTCAGTGTAAAGTCTATGAAGTCACTTTTCCTGACAAAGTCACACAATAAAAAAAGTGTAAGAGTCAAAGGGATCACACAAACAAGACTAGTGTCTGCAAATACTAACTGATAGAATCAAAAAGGGAGAGAACGATCCAACTTGGGAAATGGGATACACAGCAGACTCGTAGAATGGCAGATGTCCTAAACAACACTCTGGCCTCAGAATCGGCCCTTAAGGCACTTGGATCTGGCTGAAGAGCCCATGAGAGTATTTCAGGCATGCAAAGCCAAAACACTCTGGCAAAAAAAAAAACAAACCCAAAACCTAAATGAAAGGTCTCTGCGAGTGAGATCCCAGTAGAAAGAACAGGCCATCAAAGAAGGAGGTCCCTTTCTCTGAAGGGAGGAGAGAACTTTCACTTTGACTATGACCCTGTCGGAATAAGATCGAAGTCAGTGAACTCAAGAGGCTTCCATAGCCTTGGAAACTCATGACTAGAGCCTAGGGAGATTTCTGACGCCATAAACAAGAGTGTCAAATTGTTAAGTCAACAACAGGAGTCACTGTGTACTCACTCCTTATGTGGGATCTCTGTCCTTAATGTGTTCTCCAATGTGAATTAATGCTATAACTAGTACTCAAATAGTACTTTACACTTTATGTTCCATATGGGTGCAAACTGATGAAATCTTTACTTAATATATGCTAAATCGATCTTCTGTGTATAAAGATAATTGAAAATGAATCTTGATGTGAATGGAATGGGAGAGGGAGCGGGAGATGGGAGGAGTGCGGGTAGGAGAGAAGTTGGGGGGGGAAGCCATTGTAATCCATAAACTATACTTTGGAAAATTATATTTACTAAATAAAAGTTTAAAATTTTTTTTAAATGGATGAATATAAAAAAGCAAACTCTTGGGGACCAGTGTTGCAGCACAGCAGCATAAGCCACTGCTTCTGTCACCAGCATCCCACATTGGAAGTCTGGTTGGAGTCATAGCTCCTCTGCTTCAGGTCCAGCATCCTGCTAATACACCTAGGAAGGCAGCAGATGATGGTCGAAGTACTTGGACCCCTGCCCCCACACTGAGGAGACCAGGATGGAGTTCCTGGCTCCTTGAGCAGGCCCACACCTGGCTATTGTAGCCATCTGAGGAGTGAACCGAACCAGTGATGGAAGAACTCTCTGACTTTGTCTCTCCTAAACTTCCTGTTTCTCTGCCTTTCAAATAAATAAAACTTGAAAATAACGAAATAACAAAACCCTCCATAAGATAAGATTCAAGATGCTACAGATTGTACAGAGATCTATTCCACTTTTGGTTTGGGGTGGATTTCTACCTCATTTTGAGTTATACTGTGAAATTGATGTGGAGTTTCAATATCTTTCTTAATATTGTCATTCTCAGTATAATTATGAAATAAATATAACTTGATTTTATGTATCCCATAGAAAGATTTAAAATCTGGTTTGAGTTTATATTCCATCCAGCCATTTATATACTGTATCCTCTAGCGTCCATGATAATATTTTCTGTACATGTTGACAATGATGCATAAAGAAAATAAGTTCATATTTTAATATATTTTATATTTCTTTTTTAAAAAAGATTTATTTATTTATTTGAAAGGGTTACACAGAGAGAGGAGAGGCAGAGAAAGAGAGGTCTTCCATCTGCTGGTTCACTCCCCAATTGGCCGCAATGGCCAGAGCTGTGCCAATCCAAAGCCAGGAGCCAGGAGCTTCCTCCAGGTCTCTCACGGGGGTGCAGGGGCCCAAGGATTTGGGCCGTCTTCTACTGCTTTCCCAGGCCAAAGCAGAGAGTTGGATTGAAAATGGAGCAGCCGGGTCCCAAACTGGCGCCCATATGGGATGCCAGCATTGCAGGCCAGGGTGTTAACCCGCTGTGCCACAGTGCTGGCCCCTATTTTATATTTTATAATATTTTATAATGTATTTATATATGTATTATATATTTATATATTTTATATATATTATACATTTTATAATGTATTTTATATATGTATTTTATATTTCATATTTTAATATATTTGACAAATATAAATGCATATTTTAAAGTCAAAGGAGTGCGTGAAATCACTATACTGTTGAAGTTGACCTTACCTTGGTTATCTGCCTGTGCTGTCCCTGAATAATTAAAGTGAACCAATGTGTTTTTTCTTTGTGCTCACAAATCCGCACAGCAGGGAACCAAGGAGAGCACATTTCAGTGGAAAGAAGGCCTGGTTTCCACAAATTCTTCTGTGCTCAAGTGGGATTGTAGTACTAAGCTTTAAAGCGCAGCATAGAGCTGAATTTGACTGTTTCTTAGGTGGCCTGACTGGAGGGGAGCTAATGTTGTTTCAATAGCTGTGATTATTACATATTCTGCATGTTTTAATCGGTATTTCAGGTTTTGGATTTATGCTTTGTGACAGGTTCACGAAGGGTACAATTTGAAATGCAATTTTAAAAATTGAAAGTAGAAAATATTTTCTATTCTCCATATTTTACAAAGATTTCCTTGTTTGGTCAGCAAGGGTAAATGTTTGAGGCAATTATGAATGAGTTGTATATGCTCTTTGGCCCTAAGGTTCAGGGTATTTATTTGGATAATAGACCAATCCCAAAGACAAATAGCCTCAACGAATAACAGCTGTGAGCTTGGGGAGAAAGATAAGATCATGAGTGCCTGGCAAGAAATCTTTTTCTGGAAATCTTTAGAGTGACAGGTTCCTGCCTGCAGAGATGTTGAATACTCAAAACTGCATGTACCAATTGAATGAATAATTTTAGACCAAAGTTTTTCAACCTCGCCACTATTGACAGCTTAGGCTGAATAATCCATTGTTGCGTATGACTGGCCTGAGCATTGTCGGATGTTTAGCAGCATCTCTAGCCTCTAACCACCAAGTGCCAGGTGGTAGCCCTCCCCCTAAGGTGTGACAACTCCCAGTGTCTCCAGACATTGCAAAAGTTCCCTGTGGGCTGCTTGTCCAAATTGAGAAACTCTTTTTGATCAATGTTTCTCATCCTAGTCCTGGTACTGGTGAGGCAAAATGTTCTAAGACATGCTAACGTTTTACTCAACTTCTCTTAAGACTGCTACAATTTCTTTTTTCCCTTCCCATCCATCCTCATCCTATTGCTGTTTCCAAAGCCTTTGTTGGGGGATTTAGTTATTTTTCCAGTCTGTAGTCTAATTTGAGTTGGAAAGCACTAACTTAAACCCATTTAGCTCTAAGCCTCCCCCAGTTGCTTTCCTTTTACTACAGTGGAAACTCCTCATATACTTTTATCCCCAATTAACTTGTCATATTTCTGTTATGCATTTTTGTTAGGCCATCACAAAACACACCAAACACCAGAGTAAGGGAAAGGGTTTATTGGAGAAAAGCCAGCAGGCTGGAGGGAAGTGGTGAAGAGGGAAAAAGGGAGAGAAGGAGAGTATAAGAGAGACAGAGGAGAGAAGATAGAGCAGAGAGAAGAGAGACGAGAGGAGGAGAGGAGAGCAGATGAGAGAAGCCAAGAGAGCCACGTGTTCAGGAACAGGTTCTTTTAAAACTTTGCCCGAGGGCGGGCAGCGAAGCAGGAGCAGTGAATCTCATTGGATGGGGGTGGAGCTTGATACCGGTGGTTGGGCCATGTGGCCACTTGGCTTCCAGCAATGGCAGCAGGGGCTAGGGCCTAGGATGTAAATCAGGGTGTAGATCACATCATAGATAAAACTGCGCCAGTTTCCTAACGATTTCTTTGTGAGAGTTTTAAGCAATAAGAATGTATTTTTGACACACTGACTATGTATTCAGTTTACACTACACATCATTGCTTTGTTTTCTAGTAATGCAAAAATCTGGAGAAATAGTCATTGCTGACTATTTGAATCCAATATAGACAGCCTATAGCAGGGTAACCTCTGAAGAAACTAGCAACCAATCATCTTCCCTTGCAAATATAGCTCCATGTATGTATCTATCAACTGTCTGTCCCTCCATCCATCCATCAATCTACCTGCCTGCTACCTACTTATCCATACATTTCCTTGTGTATTCTATTCCTTTCCCTAGATATATACTCTCATCCCACCTATTCCACTTTACTCTCAACCACCTTAATTTATACACTACTTTGGAAATGTCTTAGCTCTTCTGATATTATTCTTTGCTAAAAAAAAAAGCTTATAGCAGCACAGAAACCTGAAAGAAAATAGCATATTTGTGAAGACACATGTGGCATAAGATGGTAAGAAGCCTAAAGGAAATTGGAGACAATAGCAGTAGTGAGACTGACAGGTCCTCAGAGGCCAGAACATGAAGGACCTTATAAAACCAGTGCATTCTGTGGCTGGTGTTGTGGCACAGCAAATTAATCCTCTGCTTTCAATGCTGACATCTCACATGAGGACCAGCCTTTGCAGACATTTGGAGAGTGAAACAGCAGATGGACACTATCTCTCCCTTTCCTTCTTCCTCCCCACTCCCTGCTCCCACCCTCTCCCCCTCCCCTTCCTCTTCTTCCCCTTCCTCCCCTCCCTCTCCCTTCCCCCTCTCTCCCTCTTCTCCTCTTCCTGTCCTTTTACCTCTCTGTGTAACTCTCCCTTTCAAATAAATAAATCTTTTCAAGTAGTGTATACCTTCATGTCAGAAACAGAAAGAACACAGATAATCACAAAGTAAAATAACTACAAATTTAATCCCCCAAAGATAATTGCAACTAAGATTTCTTCATTTTTTTCTTCAATGTCAAATCTCTATGGAGTAAAGATTTGCATTGTGGTTGTTATAGATATGTATGTATGTATATACAGACAAGGCTAATGAAAGATGGAATATTCCATCCTTCGATTTCTTCCCAGTTTTATGTGATGTCTCTTGTGCAATTCTCTCTGCACGTATGCTCCACTCACAGCCTTTACTGTAGATGAGGTTCCTTTCTCTGTGTCCGCATTATGTTGTAACTCCAGCTCTGGCTCAACATGACCTGCATCTTAGCTTCCCGAGTTGATTGTGGTTCTGTGTCTGGATTTGAGACAGAGTGGAGGAGGGAAAGGAAAAGAGAAAATCTGAGGTTGGATATCCATGACTGGTCCAAATGATTATGGCTGCAGGCAGTGGCGAATGGAGGTGTGGAGGATCATGGATAGGGATGCCCTGTCTCTCCCGTGTGTTGAGAGACAAGTATCAGCATATCTAAAGTGGTTAAGTAGTTACCAACTCTGTACTCTCTGTGATTGTTTAACATTCTGTGGAATGAATGTACTAAGCTTCAACTCTGTTTGAGCCTGCTCTCTTCTATCTAGTGGATGAGGACAGAAAATGAGGACCATGATGAGAAGTTTTTAGTCTCAAAGCCTTTAAGTGACAAACGTCACTTTTGTTCACACTTTTCATTTCATTTGCCCAGAACTAGGTCACATAGAAACACCTAAGAGAAATGGTGGCTGAGAAATGCAGTCTGTGTTCCCAGGAAGAGAGAACACGAATGTTGGTGGGAAGTAGGCAGTCTCTGCTTCAGGCTACCTCTTTGATTTTGAAGCTGATATTTCAGAAAACAGCCATGCTTGTTGCCAGCTTGTCCTTTAGAGAAATGTGATGCTGGATAGGTTAGAGAACTGATTTCAGTGGCATTTCTTATGTTATTTTATGGCATTATAACACATTCTTACCTTTAATACACACAGAAGAGTAAGACTGTCAAAAATAAATGAAAGGCAAGTGTTGATCAACATCCTTCAGAAGGTACATTGGAATGATAATCTAGATTTTCAACCTGCAAAGTTCAGTGAGAATCTCTTAGACTCTGTCATTTTTGTACTGCCTTGTTATTACTTGAATCATTCTTTAAATAGCCTATTCTTGATGCTGTAGATTGTAATTCAATAAAAATAAATAATACAGAAAATTATACCATGTCAACTGTCTTATAAAGTAAATGAGAAAAATGTATGTCTGTAGAAAATGAGGATTAAAAATATAATCAACATATATAATATGTTGTCCACAATGTATTATCTGTCCACAATATTTCCTCCTTGAAAAAGAAAAAAAAATAATAACACAAGTAACCAGTGAAAGCCAACTTTATAGAATCAGTAGTTTGTTCTGGTGAATAAAATTTGGAACTAGGTTTCAGCTTTGGCAAAGGGAAATATAATTAAATTTCTTTGCAAAATAAGGAATCTTTAAGTCCCAGAAAATTTAGGCCATGGATTACTTTTATATAGTCACAAATTTTTCCCAGGTAACATGTTTGTTCCCATCTTAAGTAGTTCCTTCTGGGGGACATTGGAATGGCAAGGGTCTTTTGGATCAGACACCAAAAGCACAGGGAACTAAAAAGGAAAAATAGAGAGGCTTTCATCCAACTTAAAGAGCTTCTGCACAGCAAAAGAAATAATCAACAGAATAATGAAACAACCTACAGAATGGGAGAACATATTTGCAGATTATACATCCGACAAAAGGTGAATAACAACAATGTATAAAGAACTCAACAAAACTCAATAGCAAAAAAAAATCAATTTAAAAATGGACAATAGTTTTAAACAGACATTTATCAAAGGAAGACATACAAATGGCTAACAGGTATGTAGAAAAAAATGTTCATCATCACTAATCATCAGGGAAATGTGAATCAAAACTGCAATGAGACACTACCTTACTGTATTAAGGTTAGCTACTCAAAAGAGGGGCCGGCACTGTGGCACAGTAGGTTCAAGCCCTGGCCTGCAGCACCAGTATCCCATATAGGCATCTATTCAAGTCCTGGCTGCTCCATTTCTAATCCACCTCCCTGCTAAATGCACCTGGGAAAGCAATGGAGGATTGCCCAAGTCCTTGTGCCCCTGCAATCACGTGGGAGACCCAGAAGAATCTCCTGGATCCTGGCTTCAGATTAGCTCAGCTCTAGCCATGCGGCCATTTGGGGAGTGAACTAGTAGATGGAAGACCTCTTTCTCTGTCTCTTCCTCTCCCTAACTCATGTCTTTCAAATAAATAAAATAAATTAAAAAAAAAAGAACTAACGGGGAGGGGGCGGTGTGGTGGTGTAGCCGATTAAAGCCCCAGCCTCTAGTGCCTGCCGGCATCCCATATATGGGTGCCACTTCGAGTCCTGGCTGCTCCTCTTCCAATCCAGCTCTCTGCTATGGCCTGGGAAAGCAATAGAAGATGGCCCAAGTCCTTAGGCCTTTGCACCCACATAGGAGACTGGAAGAAACTCCTGGCTCCTGGCTTCGGATCAGCTCACCTCTGACACTGCCGTCATTTGGGGAGTGAACATGCAGAATGGAAGACCTCTCTCTGGCACGGTCTCTGTCTGTAACTCTGTCTCTCAAATAATTCTTTTTAAAAAATAACTAGTTTAAAAAAAGACAAAAGACTGCAAGTGTCAGTGAGGAGGTGGAGAACAGGGAACACTTGCATACTTTTAGTGGGAATGCAAATTAGTATAGCCTTTGTAGAAAACAGTATGAATGTTCTCAAAAACTAAAAATAGGAATAACTCTATGATCCAGCTATCCCATTAGTGGGTATACAGACAATGGAAATAAATCATTCTGTTGAAGAGATATCATCTGCATACTGTCTTTATTGCAACACTAGTCACAATAGCCAAGAGATGGAAACAGCCCAGTGTCCATTCTCTGATGAATGGATAAAGAATATGAGACAATACTCTTCAGTTGTAAAAACACATGAAATGCTGTCATTTTCAACAACCTGGGTGGAACTGGAGGTCACAATGCTAAGTGAAAGAAGCCAAGCACAGAAAAACAAGCACCACATGATCTTACTCATGTGGAATATCAAAAAGTTGATTTCATAGAAATTATTTTATTTATTTTTTTAATTTTTATTTTATTTTTTGACAGGCAGAGTGGACAGTGAGAGAGAGAGACAGAGAGAAAGGTCTTCCTTTGCCGTTGGTTCACCCTCCAATGGCCACCGCGGCTGGCGTGCTGCGGCCAGCGCACCGCGCTGATCTGATGGCAGGAACCAGGTACTTCTCCTGGTCTCCCATGGGGTGCAGGTCCCAAGCACTTGGGCCATCCTCCACTGCACTCCCTGGCCACAGCAGAGAGCTGGCCTGGAAGAGGGGCAACCAGGACAGAATCCAGCGCCCCGACCGGGGCTAGAACCCGGTATGCCGGCACCGCAAGGCGGAGGATTAGTCTAGTGAGCCACGGCGCTGGCTGATTTCATAGAAATTAAAAATATAACTCTACTTACCAATAAATGGCAGAATGGGGGCATGGAGAGATATGGAAAAGTTGATTAACAGGTACCAAGTTAGATGGGGTAAGATATTCTGATGTTCTATTATATAGTGGGGTGACTACAGATGATAACGTACTATATATTTCTCTAAAAAACAGGACATGGAATTTTCAATGTTTTTATCATAAAGGAATGTTAAATGTTTGAGTAGATATTTTACCATAATTTGACATTATACAGTATATACATCATGTAGTAGCACATAAATATTTATAATGTTTAAGTTTCAGTTTAAAAAAGTAGTCCCTGTTGGGAAATTAGTGAAACTTATATGTATGTTGAACCATCCCTGCACACCAGGAATAAATCCCACTTCGTCTGAGTAAATGATCTGTCTGTTGTGTTATTGGATTCGATTAGCTTGTGAGGATTTTTGCATCTAAATTCATAAGGGATATTGATCTGTAGTTCTCTTTCTATGTTGTATCTTTTTCTGGTTTTAGAATTAAGGTGATGCTGGCCTCATAGATGGAGTTTGGGAGGATTCCCTCCCTTTCAATTGCTTTTGAATAGCTTGAGTATTGATATTCATTCTTCTTTAAAAGTTTAGTTTATTTCAGCAGTGAAGCCATCAGGTCCTGTGCTTTTCTTTGTTGGAAGGGTCTTTATTACTGATTTAATCTCTGTTTTAGTTGTTGGTCTGTTTAGGTTTTCTATATCTTCATGACTCAATTTTGGTAGATTGTATGTGTCTAGAAATCTATCCATTTCTTCTAGATTTTCCAATTTATTGGCATTTAGATTTTTGTAGTAATTCCTGAAGATTCTTTTTATTTCTGTGGTAACCATTGTTACACCTCTTTTTTCATCACTGATTTTATTAATTTAGATCCTCTCTCTTTTTGGTTGTTTGAGCCAATTTTGTATCAATTTTGTTAATTTTTTCAAGAAACCAGGTCTTCATTCCACTGATTTTTATATTTTTTGTCTGTTCAATTTTGTTTATTTTTTCTCTAATTTTAAAAAATTCTTTATTTCCTCTAATTTGGGGTTTTATTTGTTGTTGTTTTTCTAGGTCCTTGAGATACATTGTTAGATCATTTATTTGATGCCTTTCTAATTTCTTGATGTAGCCACTAATTGCTATAAATTTCTCTCTTTTTTTTAAGAATAATTAGATTTTATTTACCCTAGTACTCTTAAACTCCAGATTCACCAAGTAACAGGTGTCGTGAGCGCCTACTGTCACACAGTAGCAAGTGCGACGTATGACTTGTCAGTCACGGGGAAGAAAGGAACACCAGGACACAAAACTATCTTTCTAATGAGAGATTTTATTGCTTACACACCAAGGGTTTTTTTATCACACTACTCATCAGCATGCTCATTGAGGTCAATACACTTATCAGTACCAATATACTTAGCAATCTATACTATTTAATACACTTATCAATAAACTTAACACCACAACTTAATCATGGCTTAACTACTTAAGTTAGCTACTTAGCTTAATGTAACTACTTGGCTTAACTACTTAGCTTAATAAAACTACTTATCTTCTACTTAACTTACTTCCTTCCCAGGAGGATGGCCAGGCAAGAAGTTCGAGAGGTCCCCCTGCTAAGAGGCCTGGTCCAGCTTTGTGGTCAGGTCTGGCAGCAGGCTGATAAGGACTCCAGGCAAGGTGGTGAGATGACATCTCAGCTGGAGTTTTGATCCCGTAGTCACCTTATGCCGTGTAGTAAAAGCTAGTGGGCTGACTCTTCGGCTCCAAGTGTGAGAAGATCCAGAGGTTCACACACACCGGGCCCTTTGTCTGTTGTTGGCTTGTGCCACTATCTGCTCCATGCAGAGTAGTGGGCTGCCTCTTCAGCTCCAGATGTGTGGAGATCCAGAAGTTCACACACACCGGGCCATGATCCCCGAGAGGATGGAGAGTGGTGCAAGGGCTCCCTTTTTATCCTCATTTTTCGGCAGTCCTCCAGCTTGCCATCCTCCAACTTGTTGTCCAATCAATGCTGTTTCTTCCTTGCTTGCAGTTGAACAGTCCAGTCAATACTGTTCCCGCCTTACTTATGTTTGAACTGTCCAGTCAGCATGGGTAGGGGAGGATATTGTCCATAGCACACTGTTATCTGACTGACCAGAGATGTCTGCTTGGTATGATTAGGAGTGTTTCCCTAACAGCCGTTAGGCATTGCCTCAGCTCCTGACTTATAACTCCACTTTACTTTTATTTTGTGGCGAGTGGTAACTTTTATTAACTCAATGTTTTACTGTGGAGTTTCCACAGTTCATCTCCTTTCCAGGTAAGCAGTGATCCATGACTCTTTTTGAGAATCCTGTGGCATTCTCCACAATAGGCAAGACTTCTGGAATAATATCTCATTCCCAGACTATAACCCTTTTTAGTAGATGAAATTTATCAAATAACATGGTGCCAAGATGTTTCCACCCCAGAATTCTACAGCAGTCACTGAATCATTTTCCCTAGGTCTTAATTAGAATTAAACAATCTAGACACATGTGACATAATCAAATCAGTATATATCATTTCTTTCCTTCCCTTGCTAAATGTGCTTCCCTCTCTCTCTCTCCACCAAAGTGTTTAAGAGACGTTTGAGAAGCTTCTTTTCTCAGAAGTCTGCCTACCAGCTCTGACTCTTAGAATAGTATAAAAATTTCCTTATTTAATAAATATTGGGTTAGATTAAACTTCCCTCTTAACACTGCTTTTGCTTTATCCCATACTTTTTGATATGTTATGTTATTATCTTCATTCATTTCCAGGAATATTTTTTATTCCTTCTATGACCCACACTGTTCATTCAGGAGTATGTTGTTCAGTCTCTATGTGTTTGCATATTTTCTGGAATTTCTTAAGTTGCTAATTTCTAGCTGTATTCCATTCTGGTCAGAAAAGATAAACAGTGCGATTTCAATTTGAGTTTGCTGCTTTCCTAGACAAAGTTTCATGCATTGATGAGAAGAATGTGTATTCTGCAACCGTGGGAAGAAAGGTTCTGTAAATATCAATTAAGTCCATTTGGCCCATAATGTAGATTAGCTCTGTGGTTTATTTGTTGATTTTTTTTTAATTTTTTTTTTGACAGGCAGAGTGGACAGTGAGAGAGAGAGACAGAGAGAAAGGTCTTCCTTTGCCGTTGGTTCACCCTCCAGTGGCCGCCGCGGCCAGCGCGCTGCGGCCGGCGCACCACGCTGATCCGATGGCAGGAGCCAGGAGCCAGGTGCTTTTCCTGGTCTCCCATGGGGTACAGGGCCCAAGCACCTGGGCCATCCTCCGCTGCACTCTCTGGCCACAGCAGAGAGCTGGCCTGGAAGAGGGGCAACCGGGACAGAATCCGGCACCCCAACCGGGACTTGAACCCAGTGTGCCGGCGCCTCTAGGCAGAGGATTAGCCTAGTGAGCTGCGGCGCCAGCCTATTTGTTGATTTTTTATCCAGTTGATCTGTCCATTGATGAAAGTGGTGTGTTGGAGACCCCATTATTATTGTATTGGATGTTCTATTAACATTTGTTTTAAAAAGGTAGGTGTCCTAGCATTGTGTGTATATATATTTACCACAGTCACATTTTCCTGTTGAATTGATCCCTTAATAATTACATAATGCCATCTTTGTCTCTTTTAACAGTTTTTGTCTTAAAGTCTATTTTGTCTGATATTAGGATGGCTACACCTGCTCATTTTTGCTTTCCTTTAGCATGGAATATCCTTTTCCATCCTTTTACTTTCAGTCTGTGTGTATCTTTGTTGGTTAAGTGTGTTTCTTGTAGGCAGCAAACATATGGGTCTTGTTTTTTAATCCATTCAGCCAGTCTGTATCTTTTAATTGGAGAATTTAGGCCATTTACATCCAAGATTATTATTGGTAAATAACAACTCAGCTCTGCCATTTTTCCATAAATATTCCTGTTATTTGCTTTGGATTTCCATTGTACTTTTACTGGGAGATATTTCTGCCTTCACATTCTTTCATAATAATGACTGTCATGCTGTATTTTTGTGTGTAGCACATCTTTTTTTAAAAGATTTATTTTTATTTATTTGAAAGAATTACAGAGATGGGGTGACAGAGAGAGAGAGAGAGAGGTCTTCCATCCACTGGTTCACTCAAGTGGCTGCAATGGCTGGAGCTGAGCCAATCCAAAGCCGGGAGCCAGGAGCCTCCTCTGGGTATCCCATGTGGGTGCAGGGACCCAAAGATCTGGGCCATCTTACGCTGCCTTCCTGGGCCACAGCAGAGAGCTGGATCAGAAGAGAAGCAGCTGGGACTAGAACCAGCATTCACGTGAGATGCCAATGAATCGAGCTAGGAATTTAACCCACCATGCCGCAGCACCGGCCCCTGTATGTAGCACATCCTTAAAAATGATTTGTAAGGCTGGACAAGTGGGGACAAATTCTTGCAATTTCTCTTTGTTATGGAAGGTATTTACTTTACTTTTATTTATAAATGAGAGCTTTGCTGTTATGGTATTTTGGGTTGACAGTTTCCATCTTTTAGGACTTGGAATAAGCCGGCGCCGTGGCTCAATAGGCTAATCCTCCACCTTGCGGCGCCGGCACACCGGGTTCTAGTCCCGGTTGGGGCGCCGGATTCTGTCCCGGTTGCCCCTCTTCCAGGCCAGCTCTCTGCTATGGCCAGGGAGTGCAGTGGAGGATGGCCCAGGTGCTTGGGCCCTGCACCCCATGGGAGACCAGGAAAAGCACCTGGCTCCTGGCTCCTGCCAGGATCAGTGCGGTGCGCCGGCTGCAGCGGCGGCCATTGGAGGGTGAACCAGCGGCAAAAGGAAGACCTTTCTCTCTCTGTCTCTCTCTCACTGTCCACTCTGCCTGTCAAAAAAAAAAAAAAAAAAAAAAAAAAGGACTTGGAATATGTCTCTACATTCTCCCTTAGCCTGTACAGTTTCTAATGAGAAATCAACTGGCAGTATAATTGGAGATCCTCTGAAGGTGTTTCTGCCCATTTTCTCTAGAGTTTCTCTCGTGCACATTTTTGAATCATTTCTTTGTTTTACTGTAGACAATTTAACTACAATGTGTTGTGGTGAAGGTATTTTCTGATCACGTCCATTAGGAGTTCTGTGTATTTCCTGTGCTTAGATGTCCCTTTCTTTCTCTAAATTAGGGAAGGTTTTGCCATTATTTCACTGAAAATTCCTTTTAATCCATTCTTTCTTTCCATGCCTTCAGGAATTCCTAAGACATGTATGTTTGGTTGTTTGATAGTATCCCATAAATCTCAAACACTATTTTCAGGTTTTCTTTTTTATGTATTTGAAAGGCAGAATTTACAGAGAGAGTGAGAGAGAGAGAGAGAGAATGAATCTTCCATCTGCTGGTTCACTTCCCAAATGACCAAAAAGGCCAGATCTGGGCCAGTCCAAAGTCAGGAGCCAGAAGCTCCTTCCAGTTCTCCCACATAGGTGCAGGAGCCCAAGAACTTGGGCTACCTTCCACTGCTTTCACAGGCACATTAGCAGGGAGCTGGTTCAGAAGTGGAGCAGCCAGACTCAAACTGGCACCCAAATGGGATGCTGACTTTGCAGGTGGCAGCTTTATCTGCTGTGCCACAACACCAGGCCCCATTTTCAGTTTTTCTAATTTTTTCTTCTTTTTATTGGTCTGACTTACATATTTCCAATGATTTGTCTTCTTGCTCAGATATTCTTCTTTCTGCCTCACCAAATCTGTTGTTAATGCTTTCCACTGTATTTTCTATTTGACATATTGAATTCTTAGTTTCTAATATTTCAGATTGATTTCCCTTCAATTTCTCTATCTTTCAGCAAAATTTTTCATCTATGTTGTACATGGATTTCTTGAACTCATAAATTTGCTTCTGATTGTTTCTGAGTAATTTTACAATCATTATTTTGAATGCATTTTCAGTTATTTCATCCATCTCTTCAACTTCACATTGTAATATTGAAGTGATGTTGTATTCTTTTTGTGGAGGCATGTTATCTTCCTTGTTGATATTTCTTGTATTTCCGTTATTTATTTTTAAGCATCTGTGGAAACACTTGTTGATTTTCTTGCCTGAGGCTTTTATCTTTGAACTGTGCCTCTGTGGCTTAGTCAAATAACTGCTCCTTTGGCGGATATCCAGAGGCATGTACTGGGTGGGGCCAGGGAGCTCTGGTCAGTGCTTGAGGGAGGGGCAAGATTCCAGGGTGACACCCAAGTTGGGCGTGGTAGATCTCCTCTGTTATCTGCAGTGGGGAGAGTATGATCACATCTGCTGCTGTAATTATAGCCTCACCTCCTCTCTTCCAAGGTGATAAGTGCCCATGGTTAGCCCACAATGGCTACATCACCGCCTATGCAGTTGCACAACCCACACAAAAGATCTGTGCAGTCCTTGGTGTGAGCATGAAGCCATCTGCAATGACTCACCCCAGGCAGTCAGGGAAATCTGAGCCTCTGAAGCCAGACACAGTGATTGCACAGAGACCCAGCTACACCCCATACCATATCTTGCAGTCACAGAATTCCCACCCACAACTTTAGTGCACAAGGCTCCCATAGTCCCAGGGTGTAGGGGATCTATTCAGCCCCACATGCCTACCCTATCCACAGAGAGTGCAGAAGCATTCCCAGAGTGGGTGTTGGGGACACCTCACAGCCCTAAGTGAGTTCCCAGCCCCTTGTCAACCCTCTAGGGCAGACTCAAAGTCAGTGGGGAATGTGGATTTATTCCTCTTATAAAATCCTCTAGTTGCACATGCAAGCTGCTGCCCCATCTACTTGCATTAAGATGGCACTTTCTCCCTGCTGGTCCCTGGGCCCCCTTAGTGGAAATGGAAGAAAGAAATTTGCTCTCCCTTTATGGGATTATATGGTTACTCTGACTCCCACTAGTGCTCTAGGCACACTCCATGTCAGTGTGATCTGCAAGGTTCTCCCTCAGGCAATATCAGCTGTGACCTATACTTCCATAGTCTGCTTTCAACTCGCTCAAAGAAGTTGATGTCTCATCCAGCCCCCAGCTGCAGGAGTCATGGGTGGTGTCCCCGTTTATTGGTGCCTGTTTGTACTGTTCATACTGCTCCACAGCATCTGTCTTCTTTCTGTAGAATTTCCACTGCAAACTTCGCTCCAACTCTCCCCTGGGAATGCGCTTCCTCTACTTTTCTTCTGTTCTCTGCCCCTGATCAAAATTGGCACGTCTTTTCCCTGT